CCCACCCCCGCCCCACGACCACCAAAAAGTTCTTCCAGTGACTCTTCGCAGAACTCCATCTCCCTTCAGCCTCTACGCCCACTCGGCCACGGTTCCCCTTCCCTGCGGTTATTGGCCGGCTTCCGGGAAGTGGACTACATTTCCCATGAGGTCCTGGGGCGCAAATCCGCAACCAGTTAGCCTGCGGCGCCCCCGGGCTTGCTGGGAGTTGCAGTGTGGCTTTCCTCTCACACCTCGCCTCTGCTGTCCCGCAGTACGGAGCGGGACCTCACGAGTGGATGCTCCCGGTGTGACGCTAAAGACTCGGCCCTACCTCTCCTCGGACCCACCCACCCACGGCATCTAGTCCTCGCCGGACCCTCGCCTCCCTACCTTTGACTCACCTGAAGTGCAATATGAAATAAAAGGCCGGGGGCTGCCGGGACGCCTGGGTCTCTGGCGCCCGCACGTGGTCTCTACACTCCCAAAGCCATAAGGGCCGGACCCAGGCGTCCGGGCCCCCAGCCCCGCCTCTCAGACCTTGGGGGATCTGGGCTCCCCGCTGCTCCGTGTTGTGGGGTCAAAGATACACGTTGGCCCCGACTCTGCATCTCTCCGTTCTCAGGCCGGATCTCCCCGTGCTGCTGTTGATTTTTTTTTTTTTTTTTCCTCCCTGCAATTTTGAAATAAATGCCAAAGAACAAGCCATTAGCTGTCATCTCCAATGATCCAGCTCAGGGACTCTAGGGTCTTCTCCAGGAATCCCTGTCCTGGGCCCTTTTCATTCTCGAAGACCCAGCACTCCGAGCCCCCAGTGACCTGGCGTTTTCTCTGACGTGGGAGATTTTTCCACCTCATCATACACTGAGTTTGGCCTCTTGCCCCCACCAACCCACGCCTCCTCTACTTCCCCATCTTTGGGACAGCCCCACTGTACATCCAGTCACTAAGCCAGATCCCTCGGCACTGTAACCCCTTTTCCCCCCAAAGCCCATCAGACTCAAGCCCTGTCCTCCTGTCCCCAGCTCTGCCCTGTCTGTCTCCTCTGTGTCCTCCTCTCAGCCCTGCTTCAGCTCAGTTCTTGTCTTCTCCTGCCTGGACCCTTGCCCTGCCTAGCCCGCTGTCTGCATCCAGTCTGGCCCCCAAAGGGTCTTTGTACCCCCAGAGCTGCCTCTACTCACTCTCTTCCAAGGGCTTCCCAGCACCCATGGCCAATACTGCCGACAGTGGGCCCTGGTGGGCGGGGAGCAAGGCAAGATGCTCTACCCTTGGAGGGGGTGAACGTCAGAAGTCTATAAAACCTAGTCCCGGTTCCCTCCCTGTGTCATGCCTTGTGTCCCAATCTTGGACACAATCTTCCACACACATACTTCAATAGTTGTTATGTGTAGGTATGGAGAGAGCTGACATTAAGACCAGGCTGATGTAAGAAAATGTCGGGGTCCAGAGCTGACGACCAAGGAAGAATTCTTGAGACATCTTTGGTGCAAAAAGCTGATTTTTTTTTTTTTTAAGAATTTTTAAAACTTTAGTCCAGTTCAAATCAGTGGGCCAGGTTCACTCCAGCTCCTTCACTGCCAAACCTGGAGGCAGGGACTGCTTCGGTTTCTCTGCCTTCTCCTTGTCCGTGATGACCAGGGTGTAAACGTATCTGCTGCACCGAACTTTAAACTTCACATTATCCTTATTTTTCTTGATCTTGGCGGATTTGGCGTCCTTTCGCCTGGCCGTGAGCAAAAAGCCCTTGATTTCCTCGATTTTTGAGGCATGGCTACGGGCGGCGCAGGGGGGCGCGAGGCCGGCACATCCAGCGGCAAGAAAGGAGGATGGAAAAACTGATTTTATTACAGCCCAGGGACAGGACCTGTGGGCAGAAGGAGCCGCATGGGGGTCCTGAGGAGTGGCCCATTATGTACTTTAAAGTTGGGAGGAGGTTGGGGATAGCGTTAAGTCTCTAAGGAATTTTCAGAAACAAGGTTTCCAGGACCTTGAGGGGGCTAGCTGTTGTTAGGAAAAGGTCATTTATTGCTGTCTAATAAAACCTCAGTCATGAGACCCTTCAGATGTGTATCAGTGGGTCACATGCTTGGGGGATGAGTGCCAACATACATCTCGGGGGAGGGGCAGGTAGAGATAAGGGAAGTTTCCAAAGACATTTTTATATGTTAAAGTAGACTCACAGGATCCTGGGGGGTTGGGATGGATAATGTTAAGCTAAGATTGCCTTTTGCCCTTAGCAAAGTGTTAACAACGAGGCAGCTGAGTCCCTAGAGGAATGTCACTCTTCCTGTTTCAAGGACTTGTCAATGGGCTGTAAGTGGTAAAGAAATTTAATTTTTCTTTTGCCTTTGCATCCCACATCACAGGCATATCCATTTGGTTGCAGGTCTGGATACAAATGTGCCTCCCTTATCTGCTTGGTGTGTGACCTTGGGCTTGTCACCTTATCTCTGACCCCCTTTCCTGGAGGGAGACCCATGTGGGACTAGGGCGGACACAGTCTGGGGCCTGTCCCGCAGTTATCAGCTGTGGGACAAAATTCTGATTTGTTGATAACCATTCTCATACCCTCTCATTTCCTTTTGTCAATGATTGCTCAAGAGGGGGTCATGCACATAATGGGGAAATTTGCCTGGAGGCCTCTGGGAAAGCTTTCTTCCCTTGATAAAAGAAATCCTGAAAGACAACCTTTTCTTTTCTTCCCTCCCTTTGGCTGTGATCATCTGGAAGGGTGATGCTTGGAGTAGCTGTAGCCACTTCACGCCCAAGAGGGCCATTGTCCACGTACTGACCGCCGAACACAGAGACCTCGGGTCCTCCAACCATTAAACCTGATTTCTAGGGGCGCCTGGGTGGCTCGGTCGGTTAAGCGGTTAAGCGTCTGCCTTAGGCCCAGGTCATGATCCCCAGGTCCTTGCTCAGCAGGGAGCCTGCTTCTCCCTCTGTCTGCCGCTCCCCCTGTTCGTGCCCTCTCTCCCTCTCTCTCTATCTCTGACAAATAAATAAATAAATCTTAAAAAAAAAAACCTGATTTCTAGTTTTGCTTTAAAAAAAGTCAAAATTGGGCGCCTGGGTGGCTCAGTTGGTTAAGCGACTGCCTTCGGCTCAGGTCATGATCCCCGGGTCCCGGGATCGAGTCCCGCATCGGGCTCCCTGCTCAGCGAGGAGCCTGCTTCTCCCTCTGACCCTCCCCCCTCTCATGTACTCTCTCTCTCTCTCTCTCTGTCTCAAATAAATAAATAAAATCTTAAAAAAAAAAACCTGATTTCTAGTTTTGCTTTAAAAAAAGTCAAAATTGGGCGCCTGGGTGGCTCAGTTGGTTAAGCGACTGCCTTCGGCTCAGGTCATGATCCCCGGGTCCCGGGATCGAGTCCCGCATCGGGCTCCCTGCTCAGCGGGGAGCCTGCTTCTCCCTCTCCCACTCCCTCTGCTTGTGTTCCCTCTCTCGCTGTGTCTCTCTCTGTCAAATAAATAAATAAAATCTTTAAAAAATAAATAAATAAAGTCAAAATTAAACAAAAACTGGTTTAAACCACTTTTGTCAGGTTGTGATTTGCTTTGGGGTTTTTTTGTATTTTGTAGGGTTTTTGTTTTGTTTTGTTTTGTGACTTCCAGTCAAAAGATTCTTTGCTTCCTTGTCTTTCCCGATGGCCAGAGCTGATCACAGCCAAGGAGAGTCCCTGACTCTAGCAGCCAATTGAATTGCTGGCCAGTAACTGGGCCCCAAAAGGGTAGGCCAGATTTTTGTCCTAGATTTGCATCTGAAGGGAAAGGACTGGTAAACAGCCATTATTATGAGGTAAACAAAGGCAGAGGCCCTCCTGAAGAACCTGAGGCCCAGCGAGGTAAACATAACACATCATTAGTTAAGTATTGTTATTTTTTAAATGACTTAATGAATACATATTTGGTTAATTGTTGTGATTTCTAATTCTATAAATATCGATGGGTGTAACCCACATTAACTAAGGCCCCTTGGGAGGGGGGTCCTCGTGGAGGAGGGTCAAGAGGTCTCAGGACTAAAAAGTCCACGAGCAATGCTGATGTGAGACTTGGTTAAATAATAAAATAAGCAACAGATCTGCTACTGTTGCAGCTTATCTCTTAAAAGAACTTATTTTGGGGGGAGGGTGGTGCACCTGGAGAGGCCTTGGAAGCTCTGCGCCCTTCCCTAGGCCTGGTCCTCTGCGTCTCATCATCTGGCTGTTCCTGGGTTATATATCCTGTTACAATCACCCAGTGATCTAGATCTAATCTGGGATCCCACGTTTCCGTACTTATCATGGCTGCTTACCCTCCTCCTATGTGGGGAAGGTCCTCCAGCTTTTCTTTCTTTCTTCTTAAAGATTTATTTATTTATTTGGGAGAGAGAGCAAGTGAGAGCAGTGGAGGAGGGGCAGAGCGAGAGAGAGAATCTCGAGCAGACTCCTCGCTGAGCCTGGAGCCCGACACGGGGCTTGATCCCACAACCCTGAGATCGGGACCCGAGCCGAAATCAAGAGTCCGGTGCTCAACTGACTGAGCCCACAGGCGCCCCTCGTGCATCTTTTCTGATCTTTCATGACCTGAATAGTCGTGAAGAATAATGGTAAGGAGAAAGAGGCAAGAACATACGTCCAGGGTCTGTTAAATCAGCAGCTCAACCATCCATGGATGTTGGTCAGCTTCTTGGCGATGCTCTTGCCTTTCTGGGGGCAATTCTGTTGTCCTCAGAGAAGCAGCAAAGGCTCTTTTGTCATGCCCATCTGTCTTCATTCAACACTGAGATTCCGAAGACATGCCTCCCACGCCTCAGTGACCAGAATGGGCCACATCCTCAAAGCTGAAAAGGAAGCTGGCAGCTTCCCATTGACCACAAGGCTCGGACCACCTGTCACTGCCGGAAGGAGGCTGGGGTCCGGCCGCCATGATGCCTCAAACTGCACATATGGCTACCTGCTCACACTAAGGCTGGTAGCTGGATGGAGCTACCACGAGACTGCTAAAAACTAAACATGAAACTGCTGAAAAAGAGACACGAGGTCCAACATGGAATCACTTGTGCAAAGCCAAGCCCTACATCACCAGAGACTTGACATCCAACTAAACCTAGGTACAGTTTCAGCCTCTTTCAAGAATGGCATCTTAAACCATCTGAAATCACCTCATCAGCCCTCAGGAGGCCACCTGCCTGGTAGACCCCTGCCATCCCCTAAAGGAAGGGGCCCTTGCCACAACCAATCCGCTTTTTGCTAATATAACATCCTTGTCCCCAGTCCCTCTGCCTGTGAAAGTCTTCCGTTTTGCACACCTCCTTGGAGCTCCTACCTACCTGCTAGATGGGGTGCTGCCCCATTCAGAAATCCTTGAATAAAGTAAATAAGATATTTAGGAAAAAAATTGGGGCACCTGGGTGGCTCAGTCGGTTAAGCATCTGCTTTCAGCTCAGGTCATGATCCTAGGGTCCTGGGATCAAGTCCCACCTTGGGGTCCATGCTGAGTGGGGCGTCTGCTTCTCCCTCTCCCTCTGCCCCTCTCCCCCACTCGAGCTCTCTCTTTTGCTCAAGTAAATAAATAAAATCTTAAAAAAAAAAAAAAGAGGACAGGGCTGCCCTCTTGGCTCTCACCTTCCAACGGGGTGGGGGTGGGGGTGAGAGTAAACACAGCACACTGGTAAATGTGGTTCTCACAGTCCCTTCCTTGGGTTGGATTGATTTGCTAGATGGGTTCAGAGAACCCAGAGAAACGCTCCTTACTAGATCACTGGTTTATTATAAAAGGATATAACCCAGGAACAGCCAGATAAGGCACGGGAAAAGGGCACGGAGCTTCCATGTTCTCTCCAGCGGTGCCACTGTCCCCAAAATGGGCACGAGCACAAGGTGGGGGGGGGGCAGAGGGAGAAGGAGACCGAGGAAGCTGACTCTTGGCTGAGGGAGCCTGACTGGGGGATAGATGGTCCCATGACCCTGAGAGCATGATCCCAGCGGAAATCAAGAGTCAGGACGCTTAACCGACTGAGCCACCCGGTGCCCCTTGCTGAACCCTCTTAGAGTTCATTTCAGACATCTTCAGCCCTCCCCCCTCCAGTTTGTGTCTTCCAACGATGCCACCCATAATGAAATCAACGATTCCCTAATATCATTTAATTGCCCATGGCAGGTGGATTTGGAGCAGCCACCTGAAGCAGGTGAGGGATGAGCCACGTGGGTGTCTGGGGGAAGAGTATTCCGCGCAGAGAAAACAGCCAGTACAAGGGCCCTGTGGCTAGAAGGTGCCATCGGTGTTCCAGGAACTGTAAGGCAGGTGTGGCCAGAACAGAGTCAATGAGCCACGGCGAGACGGTGAGGCGCGCAGACAGGGAAGGGGCCAGATATTTCAAAGCCTTGCGGGCACTGAGGCTTTTCTAGGAATGAGCCTGGAGTCACGGAAGAGTTCCCAGCAGAAAAGGAACTCGACATTCTGTAAGTGGGAACGGGCGCCACCTGGCGGCCGTGTGGGGAACAGACTGAGGGAGGAGAGGATAGAAGCCAGGACTTTCGGCCGGGGCACTCATGGGGGGCGGGGGGGAGGCTGCAGGACCAGGGTGGTAACTGTGGGAGGAGCGAAAAGTGATGGGATTCTGGTGCATTCTGAAGGTCAGACCAACGGGTCAGACGGGATGTTATGAGATCACACCCCAACCAGCCAGGTATGAGAGGAGAAAGAGAGAACAGGACTTCTTTCCCTTAACGCTGTTTTGCGTGGTTATAGTTCGCCATTTAATGTACCTGTTTATTACCCATTCCACTGATAATGAACCTCTGGGTCCATGATTCTGACCCCAATTCCGATGTGGTTTCCAACACCACCAAGCAATTCTCCAACAGCAGCTGGGGGTCCTGCAGTTTAACTCAATGCCTGATGCCATTGATCTGAAGAGAACCCCAGATCCTGCAGGGTAAGGGTTCGGTCCTGCAAGCCTGCTCCCTGCCCCCCTACTTCAAATACCAGTTCCAATTCCAGCTTCTGACCCATGAGCTACAGATCAGAGGTTCCCACAATCCCTTCCCTGGATTGGATTAATTTGCTAGAGTGGTTCACAGAACCCAGAGAAATGTTCGTTACTAGATCACTGGTTTATTATAAAAGGATATAACCCAGGAACAGCCAGATAAGGGCACGGAGCTTCCATGTTTTCTCCAGCGGTGCCACAGTCCCCAAATT